CAATATTCAGTGATACATGTAATATGTAACTTGTTTCAACTGCAAGTGATCGGACTTGTGTTGAATTTTGGAAATTCGTACCAACAAGCAATTTCCCAAATTTACATGATTTAGCTGTCTCATGTTATTGTAGGTTTGGATAAACATATTTTTGTGAACAAATTTTTCCTATTTTGAATATAATAAAATCAAAATATTCAAGACTAACTGATATGCACATAAAACACCTAATTTTTTTAGCATTTCAGGAATTAATCCTAATATAATATCTTGGTAAGAAAACTACAAATTCAAAGACCACATTAAGTACTGACTGTTTAATAATTATTTAGAATTAAATTTTTCAAGTTATTCGCTCTTATTTTATATATAACCTAACTCACCTAACCTTAAAAAATGTTTATTAACAATAAAACCCAAGATTGTACTTTTGTTTTATTTATTAAATTATTTTTTAATTTTTCATTACTCAGACTTCCGTGAAAAAAAATCCCACAGGTAGTCGTAATCTTCCCAAAAGGTTGGCCACCCCTGGTTTAAATGTGTATTTTGAATTATGTAATTATCTATTCAGTTTCTCAGTAACAAGTAATTTAATTTCTATAATATTCTTCTTACGGAATTATATTTTGTAGTAAACCTGTAAAATTGTCATTTACTGAACTTTAATTTGAAATCTAGTTTGTTTAGTTAGGGAAATTAAAAATTGCATTTTGATGAGAACCTTGTGGATGTGCTGTTTGGAACCTCATAAGTATTTTCATAAACCTGCCAGAGATTCTTAAAACCTCTCCAGAAATTTTCCCTCTCCAGAAATTAAACTTATTAAAATTTTAATTCTCTTTAATAAATAATATTATTATTTGTATACTGGATCCTTTTTCTTGGGGGTAGGCATAAGTGTTAAGGAATAGATTAGAATTTCTAGGAATGACTTCTGAAAAAAAAAAAAAAAAAAAAAAAAAAAAAAAAAAAATCAATGATTCCCCCCCCCCCCATTTTTTTTGCAAACTGTGATTTGTCTTGCATGAATGCTACATGGTAAAAATCTGATGTGGGCACCACATTGACTTCCTTGTAATGCCTATTAAATTATACACATTTTTTTTTCTGCATTTCCATTTAAACCTATTTCCTCCTTAAGTTTTATTACAGATATATTTCTCATTCAAGTAATTCAGTACTCACTTTATGGCAAGGCAAAAAGCATAAAAACTCAAAACATCTTCATTAAAAATTGCAAAATACAGAAAAACATGAAATGCCAAAAAAAAACCTCTTTATCTCCAGCATGTGGAACTGTGTATCGGAAATCCTAAAGATATGTTCATTTTAAAATTATTTTGCGACATTGCTATTGAACTGAATTTTATGATTTAAATGCAAAGAGCGTGATATTTAATAAATAAAGGTAACACACAAAACGTTTAAAAAAATGCCCCTTTGGGCATAATTTAAAATCCCCCCCTTTTTTTTGTGTGTGTTTGTTTTGTAAGCATTAGGTAGCAGTAAATGTTTTAAAACTGTGCAGTTAGATCTTTATTGCAGATTCAAAATAAAACATTTTAATGCATAATTGATTTATTTATTAGGTTGGATGGGAAGCATGTTGTCTTTGGCCAAGTTGTAGAAGGAATGGATGTAGTGAAAAAGACAGAGTGATAGTATTTGGTGGCAACGATTTGAAAAGTGATACGCCGCTTATAGGGTTACGCTGCAAAATTACAAAATGAAAACAATAGTCCTTCAGGGACAAAGCTCCTTTGGACTAATTATCAGAAGATTAGAATTTTTTGTTGGAAAAAGGATTACTGAGAAAAAAAATGATGCAATGTGGATATATGTATATTCTAATTCAGGGGTCCCGAAACGTTTTGTCCCTAATAGCACATTCTAGAATATCTGTTAGACGGCGGGTACCATTTACTTTTTCAAGTATACATGCACATAAATAAATAAATCGACCACATTTCATTTTGTGCTAGTGTCTATGTTGGACACAGTTTCTATTGCACTAAAAATGAGAAAACTTTCATATAGAATTTTCTAAAAAATAAAAATTTTTTATTATGATCGCATAGCGGCGGGCACACATTAAAAGATTGGCGGGTGCCATAGTGCACGCGGGCATAGGGTTGGGAACCTCTGTTCTAATTGATTTGACATTTAATATTAAATAATAATAATAAAAAAAGACCATCTCCTTCTCCATTAGACCTCTTCTCATCATATGTTTTTGGAACTGCATCTATCAGTTATTGATTTAATAGCAGATAATGGTCATAAAAGTAAAGATAGGAACATTATTTTTAAGGTATATATAATTATATATACAGTCAAAAGTTGTTAATCCGGACTCGTTGGGACTTCGGCGATTCCGGATTATCGATTTTTCCGGATTATAGATCATCAGTTTAAATCTCGTAAGATGGCATGCAGAAATTCTAAAATTAAAAATATGAAACCGTAATTTATGAAATAAAGAACAATTATGATCTAAAGGGTATCAAAATTTACAAAAAAAAAAAAAAAAAAAAACTTAATATTTATTTCTTCACTTTATTAAACATTTCTTTCAATGTAAGTTGTTTAAGTTTCTTCGTTTTATGTGATAATACTTTCTCTTTAATTCTATAAACAGACATAATTTCTTGTTCAGTTACAAAGTTCCGCTGTTCAAGTCCCATTAATTGCTGTGCCGAGAATACCGATTAACTTGTCAATCGAAATTTTTTCGTTTTCGCTAACTTCTCTGTCACATTCTTCATGTCTTTATCCATTTTTTGCAGCAATTCCACTTTTTGTTTGATGGACATCGAAACATACTTTCATTTTGTACGATCCTTTTGGAGCTCCAGAATCGGAAATTCTATTTGACATAATCGGAAGTTCAAGTTTACTTTTATAGTATTACTCTTACAGTCTGCAAAAAATAATAAGCCGGATCCAATTCGAAAATTAAGGAACAACGCAATCATCAACATTAACTGAAATAGATAATTAGATAATTTTAGCTTATACCATCCGTTATACATAAAACGCACACGTGAAAACATATTCTGCACTTGCACACACGCATATGCGCAGACGTAAAAGGTCTTACACGCACGCGTAAACGCTTATGCGCATGTGTCAATGCAGCGCATGCGCAGAAAGATTTTAGCTTTGAGGTCTGGATTATAGATCATTCTGGATTATGGGTGTCCGAATTAACGACTTTTGACTGTATAAGATTTAGAGAAAATAAATTGTGTTCTTTTTTCTTTATTGCATTTATTAAAAAATATTGTTATTGAAAATGTGAATAGTAAAAATGAAAATTGAATTCATAAAAAAAATATGAAAAAAATGAAAAACGAGCTATTTTCATTTTGACTTATCTTCTGATGTAATTTTCTAATGTTCATTGCCAAAAATTTAAGTTTTTTTCCCCTTGTTGTCTTTAAAATTAATTTTAAAGCAGATCACTAGTTTTGAACTTATTGATTCAAAAGGAAGATAAAAATTGTAGTATATTTTTTGGAAAGTGAATGTGGTTTTCAGTTCATCATGGCTATTAATCAAATAATATTTTATTACTGTTAAAATTAGGAAAGTGTTAATTTTTTTCAATTTCATGTAAATTGTTGTAAAGTAGTGTGAATGATGTAAATTTTTATTGTTTAATATGTGTGCAGTTATGTGCTATGGTGGGCAAAATTTAGAATCATTGTTTTTAGAAATTTGCAGTATTTTGAAGTATTAAAGTCAAATTTGGATCAGCTAATTTTTCAACTATGAGCTATTTATAATATGTAATAAATTCTGTTTGAAATTAAGTTTTCTAATCCAAGAGTCTTGAAAACTTTTAAGTGATTTTTTTCACAGAATGTGATGTATGTGAATGACTTAATGGCAAAACAGATTTAATTTTAATTAATGAAATTTTTATACCATGTTCTGTGTTGAGTATAGTTTTTAATTCATTTGTTACTAGCATTATGGTACTAGCATTGCAGTAGCAGCATTTTCACGCAGTATCTTCAAGCATAATCAAGCTGTCTGCAATTCCTGTTCATTGATGATTCTCTGTACTGTTTTCAAAATCAGGCTTTACTCGGATGCATATTGTCATTTAGGTGATGTTATTTTGTGGTGTTAAATGGCAAAAGTATATTTTATATATGAAAATGCACAGAATAAGGTTTTTCCTCCTTAAAAACTGTTAATTAAAAGTAACAGGGAAAATAATTTACATATTCATTATAAAGACATTCTTCCATTAAGTAGTCAAATAATAACTTTCATTTAAACCTGATTTTTCAAATCTGTGCTAGAAATAGTGACTTCCTTCTCAACAGAACTTTTAGAATTTGACACACATATTTATTACTTCAAGTAACTTGTGAGCGTCTACATAGTCAAAAGGTTCATTTTCATTGTACATATGAGAAATCATTCTCATGATTTGAATATCATGAAAACAAATAATGAAATAAATCATTACACAAATCAAAGTATATAAATATAGAATTTTGCAAAAAAACTTAAGTATTCAGTAACTTGGTTTAACTGAAACATTAAATTGCAAATTTAATAAACTCGTCAAATATTAAAAGCGGGTTAAAATTCAAGATAGTCAAGGCAGTTATTTTGGAAGTTAAATATGCTGAAATTTTTTGTGGCAGGCACATCTACATAAGACTAAGATCATAATGGAACTGGTTTTCATTGAGAGGTATCCCTGTATTGTTTCTGGCAGATGATTTTAGTTTATAGAGAGTGGTTTTTGTTGTCTTAATTAGAAATTGAAAAATATTTAGCTATAAAAGTTAATGTTACTAGGCATAAATAATTGTTTAGATAATTCATGTCAAACACCATTAAATTTTCTCTGAACCTTTTACTGAAAAATTTTATGATTTTAAGATATAGAGATGGAATTGTATGTTTTTAATATTTATTGTGTGTGTTTGAGAATTTATAATTATTAGGTTTTTTAATACTACCATTTATTTTAGGTGACGCTACTGCAAAAGATATTGATACAGCTATGAAATTAGGAGCTGGCTATCCAATGGGCCCTTTTGAATTGCTGGATTATGTTGGCCTTGATACCACAAAATTTATTATTAATGGTATGTAATAATAATTTGTTATTAAACCTGTGTTCACTTTTATAAACATGATGAAATTTAAAGTAGCATTTTTGATGTTTTGTAATGAATAACTTCCTTTTCTGTTTTATAAAAAACACTGTAAATAGTTATCATACTTTAAGAAGTTTCATTCTTTTTATCATAGAGTTAAAATTGCTTTTTCATGATTTATGGCAATTTTTTAATATTTTGGTATACAGGAGAACAAAATTTTCCATATTTGTTCCTTTCTTACAAAATCACAAAATTTGTTTAGCTTGATATCTTTATGTATATTTAAGATATAAAATATGTTACTCAAAATTATTAACTTTGATTTGGCAATAGTCCTTTTTATCCCCCATTTTAATTTGGCTCTCCCCTTTGTTTATAATAATTTTTCTGTACTGCATCTTTAAATTTCATGCTTGCTTACATAAACCTTCTGTATTGCAATAGCTAATAACCAGTTGCAGACCAAGAATTAAATCAAAGAAATTAAGTTTTTAAATACTACTGCTACTATTGCAGAGCTTTTTTCTTCTACTTTGCTGGTGCTAAGATGCATTACTTCATTGTTTCACTTTGTCTGAAAAAATGGTAATGTTATGAAAGATTATGGGGTGTTTCTTGTACCCATAGTGATGTGTAAACGAGAAATGTGTGCTCAGAATTTTTCTTCAAGAAATAAAATTTTGTCTTGTTATCTATGCCAACATCTGCAAGTTACTTCTTCTACTATGCATTCCATCTGTATACCAGCCATATCTAAAACCATCTTGTTAATGACTAAAAAAAAAAAAATATAGAATATCAAGAAATAAAATTTTGTCTTGTTATCTATGCCAACATCTGCAAGTTACTTCTTCTACTATGCATTCCATCTGTATACCAGCCATATCTAAAACCATCTTGTTAATGACTAAAAAAAAAAAAAATAGTAGCTTCTCTTCAAAGTATCCTAAATTTATTACAATTAACCCTTTCCAGCGCGCTACCTTTTAAAGTCGGGAGTTTTGATAAAAATTAAAAAAAAAAAAAAAAAGGGTAGGCAGTCTAATTAGGCCTAGAGGAGTACACAAGTAACATTTTGTGAAGATAGCACTTATCGTTTTAATTCTGTGGGTGTGCCCAGGGGCACACACTGATTGAATAGAGCTTCTGAGTGAATAAAAAGTGCTGAAATGAGCATTGTTGTCAATGATCTGACCGATGAGATGTGGAGAAACAAAGAATACAGACTCTCAGTTGTCCTAGATTATCGGTGAGCCCGGTCTGGGCACACCTAGGGTTCGCCGTTTGATTTTAGGCAAGATTTCAAGGTAAAAATTTAAAACTAATATAAAATAAGGAGATTAGTTATACAGCCAAAAAAATAACATCGAAATTTCTTTTCAAACAATTCCTTTTATACCCTAAAAAAAAATCTTGACGATTCCTTTGAAAAATGAGGGTTTTAAAAAACTAAACATGCCTAAAATATATGGACTGCTTTGTGTTGAGCTGCCATCTACTATAAATAAAGAAGGTTCAGAGTAACATATAAATCCTTTTTCATTCAAATTTTCTGTACGTACAGAAGGAAATTTTTAGGTGTGTCCGGACCGGACACACTGTGGCCGCAAAGGGTTAACAGAGGTCATCTACACACACAAAATTATCATATATATATATATATATATTATTTTCTAACCATGTAATTTATGAATTTATTAGATAGTGCCACTGTCTAGGTAAAATGGACTAAAGGATAATAGACTTTTTTTTTTTATATATTCTTGAGCATTTCACAGTAACTATAACAATGTATAATAGGATAATGTATTGTCATAATGAGACTATATATAGTTTGTAATAGTATTCTTTAATATATGATGTGCAGTGTTATACAGTATGGGTTTCTTTGAACACTGTGTGTTAGTAAATTTAATATTTACTATTAAACTGATATCCTCATCTGAAACAGTGTCTGATATCATGTTTGAAAAGTAGCTGATCAGTTCTGTTATACTATTATAATTTTTAGCATTTTGTGGCTTATGTGATTATATAGTGTACAAAGGCTGCATGTTTTACATACTTTTAAGATATTACTCAATTTATATATGTTTTTGTAATTCATGTTAAATTTATTAATATTTTAATATTTCAAGTAAAAAAAATTAATCAAAGTGTTTCCTTATGATAATATAAAAAATGCTTAAGTATTGTTTAAAAGCTCTGAAAATGAAATTGATTATCTCTTTTGATTGTTAAATCTGATAAAAATTATCTTAATATCCCCCTGAAGTTAAATGTATCAAAATTTAAAAATGCTTGTAAAAGATTAAAAATGGTTTTGTAAATAAATTTTTCATTTTAATTTTAGAATAAGTAAGAGCATGTGAATTACTTTTAGTAGGAAACTGTTGTTTACATGACACGTGAATCTCTGAACTAAATAATCAGAATCTTAAAAGTATATTAAATTTCTATTAAATGTGGGGGGGGTGAGAACAGTGTAAGGAATCATTTGTTATGGAGAAAAGTCTTATGTAAAAAAATCCCAATATGAGGAAATGAAAATGTGTTAAAAGGTAATCAATATAAAAAATTTATCCAGCTTTAAAATTTAGTTTGATTGTGTTTGTGATGAATATCAGACTGATAAATTGACAACTTTCCCTGTGATAAACTAATTGCTTAATTATTTGTGCTTTTGCAGTTACACTTAAATCTATCAATATTTCATTGAATAATTGTTTATACATGCAGTATGTGATAATAATAAATCATTTTGTTTTGTATGCTATAGGATGGCATGAAAAGTTTCCTGATAATCCACTTTTCAAGCCTGTCCCACTTCTGAATAAGTTAGTTGCAGAAGGGAAACTAGGCGTTAAAACAGGTGAAGGCTTCTATAAGCATAAGAAGTAATTAAGTTTTCAAAGCAATCATTGTACCTGCATTTCAAGAAATATAACTTTTGAAGGATCTAAAATGTTTGAAAACAACATAAAAATGTATATTTTTTTTACTTGAAGCATTTCTTAATCAAATGTTTCGCTTGCTTATTAGCTGGCATATAATAATTTATATACATTTTGTATGGAAATGTTCATTTTTATATATGAATTATTCATATTGATGTACGATATATTTTGAGAGTTAAGTGGGAAAAATTAGAAAGTGGCAATTTTTAAAGAAAACTCATATTGAAATAATTTATCTGAATTTCTATATTTTGTATTTAAATAAAATATATTTTTAATATATGCCTTGCCTTTTGTATTATTTCTTTCCATATTTGTTTTCTTTAGCAGTTTTTTTATGTCTCTTTACATTTAAAATTATAAAGCAATTATACAAGGTGTGGCTATTAATTTCCAGGACTGCTCTAATAACACCAGAATAGATGGTGTGAAAAACATAACCTTTTAATATGTTTCGAAGTAATCCCCATCTGCCGTAATACACTTCTGTGCTCGGCTGTATAAGTTGTAGAAACAACTTTTAAAGTCTTCTTTCGGAATGCTCTTCAATGTTGACGTCATGTTCTTTTTGATGTTTTCAACATCCACAAAGCGTGTTACTTTGATCACAGCTTTGAGTTTGGAAAACAAAAAGAAGTCTGTGGGGGGCCAAGTCAGAAGAATATGGCAAATGGTGCAGCTCCCTGACCTCATGCTTGACTACTGGCAATGCAATGTGGGGGACATTGTCATGCAATGTCCCACACATTGCATTGCCATGCAACGTGATGTCGACATTGAAGAGCCTTCCGAAAGAGGACTTTAAAAGTTGTTTCCACAACTTATACAGCCGAGCACAGAAGTGTATTACGGCAGATGGGGATTACTTCGAAACATATTAAAATGTTACGTTTTTCACACCATCTGTTCTGATGTTATTAGAGCAGTGCTGGAAATTAATAGCCACATCTTGTATATTACTATAGAAGATAATTTTTAACCATCAAGAAAGATAAAGTGCTATTTCAATTTCATATTATTTAATTATTTTCTTACGATGACCATATGCTGGGGCTGCTAAAAATATTTCAAATCAATTTCAACTGATAGAAATAATGTACTATTTCATCACCATATACCGTATAATGTACTATTTCGCCTTGAACTAACAGTTGTCAAACATTGTTCTTAGAGGAATTAGTATGCAACTCTTAGGTTCCATTCTACTTCCTTAATAATTCGAAAATGATACAAAACAAAATCAAAATTTGAAAGAATTTTTTAATATCATGTGGACTCCAAAATTAAAGGTCTAAAATAATTGATTGAAGATTTTCTTTTTTCTTTTGCTGATGTTATCAGAAAATGTTACAAATATGGACTGAGCTCAGTTTAAATGTAAGTAATGCAACTTAAAGGACTATAAAGAAAAATAATTTGTCAGTCTTTTTCAAGGAAGCCTCATGCATTTCTAATGTCCATTGATTACAGAAATATATGTACATTTCAGGGGTTGAATGATATTGTTTTACATCTAACTGCTTTTGGTGCTTTGACTTGCTGCAGTGTGTGCTATAGTAAAGCAAATTTTGAGTTGAATCTTAAGTATTAGGTCATTGGGAAAGTTCTATGCTTTTTCAGATTCCAGGATATTTTCTTCTAGTTATTTTGCTGCTACTGATAAGGAATGACCTTGGTTGAGGCAGATATTTAAATATGGTCTTTTCTACTCATACTGAATAACTTTAGCATGTGTTGTGATATAATTTATTTTCAATGCAGTGCTAAGATTGGAGAACTAAAACATTCATTTTGCTGTTTTAGTTTAAAAAACTCAAAACTGCTAGTCAGACTGCTGGTAAAATTTGTGCAGTATGTAGACAAAGTGCTGTTTCGGATGACACAGTCTGAAGTTGTTTTGAGAAACACGTAAATTCTAAGATTTATGTCCACTGTTGACAACCATCCTCCATAAGCGAGGACTTGAAAATTAACTTTTTTTGAAAATGCATGTTATACAGTTCAGGAGCTCTCAGACAGACTAAATATTGACCATTTGAAGAAAATGGATCCATAAACTGTTATGATGTGTTTGTACCTCATGCTTTAAGAGCAGAATATGCTTGCTCAAATTTTGGCATTATTTTTTTATTGAAAAGAGATAAAGAAGCTCCTCTTTTGAAATGCTCATTACTGGAGATAAGGATTCGATGTTATACAATAATGTTACAAGAAAAAATTCATGGAGTAAATGAAAAAAACTCCCTTTAATAACACAGAGAGATGGGCTACATTTAAATAAATCTCCTTTTTTGAAATGGCTGATTACTGGAAATGAGAAGTGCATACATTATGTTATAAGAAAAAGATCATGGAATAAGCGAAAAGAACCTCTTTTAATAACATTGAGAGGGGTTGTGCATTCTAACAAAGTAATGTCTTGTGATTGGATTACAAAGGAATTGTATATTATGAAGTGTTGTTACTAAATGAGGCAATTTATGAAAAACACTATTCCCATATGCCATTTTAAAAGCTGGAATTGAAGTAAACGCCTAGAACTAACCAGTTGTCAAAGTGTTGTGTTCCATCATGACGATGCTCGGCCACATGTTTCGATGAATGTCGAACAAAGACTTACTGAGTATCGCGGGCTATTTTTAATATCCGGTCACTTCAAAATTCTCTGAACACCCTGGAGTTTACTTTCTTGAAGACTGTCGAACAGCACCTTGATAACTTCTTTACAATTAAATCTAATGAGTTTTTTATAACCACTTGCGCTAAAAAGACGTGCTACGCACGTCGAGATGCTTTTGTCTCAAACCGCGAGCGACGTGAACACCATGTCGATAGGCATTTATCGCAAAAATGGAAATAACATGGTGCACACGTAGCATAACGACGAGATTGTTTATTTCTCGAGTTACAGCTCTGGATTGCACTCGCATACGCAGAGCGGTGTAAATGAGACACTTTATCGCTTGTTATATTGTACACGGCACCGCAATCATGAAGTTTAGTCACAGCGCAAGTGGTTGAAAAAGGAATTTTCCAGCTGCCAAAAAGATATCCAAAACTCATAGAACTAATTGGTGCTCAATGTGATTCAATGAAATTTTCATATACACTGCCCTCCAAAAGTTAAGGAACAGCATGTTTTTCAAAGCTCAGCAGTACAAAAATGTCAGTAACATTTAAATTCATACTTTATAAGCATGATAGTAACAAAATTTAAGAATCTATATGCGAAAACAGTAGCAACCACTTTTATTTTATACAAATGAATACTTGTATATGAGTTGGAGAAAAAATGCAAAAACTAAGTTTTGTTCATCAGTGTTGATCTTCAATTGTTATTAGCAGTTTCGTTCACAATATCCTGGAGAGTCTATCAATGTTCAGAAGAAGTCGTTTCCCCGATTCGTTGAAGTGGCGGGCAATCGATTAGATGGAAGTGGAGGTGTCACAAGCTGATGATGCTAGACGTCTCGTAGTGTGGTCTACTGACTATGGAATCAGTTTGAATCTGAGGATTTTTTGTCTAAAAGACATATTCCAGGTAGACCAAGAATTACAACACCTGCGGAAGACTAGCTCTTTTGGCCCGAAGCAGAATGAATGGCCAGCTCAATCTGCAGACTTGAATCCAATAGAGCATTTTTAGAAATACCTTGGGAGACAGGTTGCTGCTTTAAGTTTTCCTCCAAGGTCATTAGATGAGCTTTAACGAGGGTTACTCTGTGTCTCGTCATTGCTGCCCATTTCACTTACTGACAACTTTATTAACACCATGAAACCTTGCTGCCCCCAATTTATTGCAGCTAGGGCTGAATGCATTCCTTATTAGAACTCATTTTTATAATGTTACTACCACATTTTTCGCTCAAAAAACAGTGATTTACTGTTTCTCCAAGACTAGATTTTTCTGCCAAGAGTGCATTTTTTTGCTGTAATTCATGTTTGTATTGAGCTTTAAATACATTCTGTGTTGCATTCATTAACGAACTGATTAGTGAACATGTCCTTTAAATTTCTTGTTTCTTCATTCTCAAATTAGATACAAAAAACATGCTGTTCTTTGACTTTTGGAGGGCAGTGTATTTCATTTGTTTTTATCATCAGAAACCCACAGAACTTTTTGGATGACCTATTATAAAACTGCTTAAAATTTTGCGGGTACTTTAGTTGGCTGGAATTTTGATTGCATAGTTGTGTTACCATTTTCAAATCAGTGGTTATCAGTAACTGAATACCAAGCTAGTTGATTGTCACTCATTTTATATTCTGAAACCAGAAATAATTTAATGAATCCAGTTTTTAGAATAGTGAATAAGAATTTTAAAATTCAAGAGCAATCACAGTCAACAGTCGGTGATTGTGAGAAATAATCATCAATGATGAATGATACAAGGTATTTTCCCATCTTAATCATCAGTAAATTGTGAAAGTTTGATGAAAACTATTTAACTTTGTAAGGATAAGAAATGAAGATGAGCAGGTGGCTTATATATTGAATGCAAAAAGTCATTAGTCATAGTAGCTTAAATCGTGTGATGTTAAAGACATACAAAATATAGCCTTCCATATTTATTAAATATGTTGCATGCTATCAAGATATATGTGAGGCGCTCAAAAAGTATGTGTTTTCAATATACATTATTCTAATATGTAACATCTCTTGTAGTTTCTTCTCAAGCTAGTTATCTGTATCCTAAAGAAGGTGAGAGTATTTTAAAAGCTTATAAAAACATGTGTCGACCTTGCAAATTTACTGGAAAATATGTTAAAGAAATTTCCAGCCTATAATTTTCTGATGAGTCATGAGACATATTAAGGCATTATAATGTCAGGACATATTAGCATGTCTGTCATTTTACAATGCAACATGATAAATTGATGGATGTTTCTAGCTATTTTTGTGATATTATGGGAGTTGATTTAAACAAAACAAAATGAAATTTTTCTAACCATGTTACAAGAACAGGTTATAGGTTATCACTGGTAAACAAGCAATTGCACGGTTACAATTTTTTATATATGTAGATATAGATAACTTTCCATTTAATCTTTGTTTCTTTATCAGTCATTCTTTTAAAACTTCGAATCTTTATTAAAACACATGGTCCTGAATGCTTTTCTGTAATAAACTACCAACCTACAAATTGATAAAGTGAACGAAACTTACACAGAATAAAATTATCAGGTGTTGATACTGGTAAAGTTTATCACAATTTTGAATGAAGAAGAAATGTTAACCAAGATTTTGCAATAAAAACTTTTGATGAAATTTTTCCTTTGAGGGCAGTTAACTGTTTATATTTTCAAGTTAAATCTACTCATGGAAAGGAAACTGAATTCAAAATTTACTGAATTCTTACACAAGTTCATGCAGATACTTAAATAAAAAAGTAGTAAACCTTTTACATCGTTTTTCCTCATTTATTTATGTATTAATATTTTTACTGCATTATTAACAAATCCGAATAATGTACTTAAACCTTTTCTATATGTATTGTTTCTCAACTGAAATTATTTAAATTCTGCATGAATAGCCAATATTACATCAAATCCATCATTTTGAATGTTCTTATAACCCTGTTGTATATGATACAATGGAAGAATCTAATCCCCTCAACTAACAAGGGAATACTGTATTTTCATTGTGGGTTCTTATTTCCAATGAAATGGCTAGACTAACTGGAATATTTTAAAGTGCTATTTCAATAGTTCTTAAAAATTCCTGTATAATAAAAGGACCTTATAAGAATTACTGTATTTTTACTTGCCTAATTAACCTTCTGAATGATTACACTTAAGCTGTATAGAAATGTACTTTGTAAATATATAAGTACACTGTAAGATATTCTTAAAAAAAAAAAAAAAAAAAAAAAAAAAAACTCTTATATAAATGGCTGAGTAGGTAAAACATGAAAGCTTTCATGGTATCTACTAAAGTAAGTTCCTAGTTGTCAGGGATCTTGCATTCATTCAAAGGAGTCTCTAACATTAATTATTAATAATAATTAAGTAAGCATACTTTGTGTCTTAAGAACTCTTTGTATAATATACTCTGGAAACAGTACATGTCACATACTGGCCGGTGACTTAATGCCTTGTATCAGACCAAGTCTTTTAATGGTGTCCTATTTAACCTGGGCAAAACATTAAGATATATTTTTGTGGATGGTTAGTTCATAACATCTTATAAAGACATCATCCTATGTTAATTCACTCAAGCAAAACAACACTAATTTGTTTTCTTCAACAGTACAATAGTCGTTGCTTCCTTTTACATTTACCTATTCAAGTATTATTTCAGGCAAGCTGAGGTAAAATATTTTTGCTCTTTGAAAAGCAGTTCTATAAAAAATCAACATCAATTCAAAAGTTGAATTTTGTCTAAATTTGTCTACTGGCATGCTTTTACCTAACAAGGCATAGATTCAATAAAATATTCCAATCTACTTATTATATCATGATTCCACACACAAGATCTCCATTTCTTGTAAATTTTCATAATAAAGGTGATGTTGTTCATAAACCTTTCTCCAATTTGAACCACAAATGTTCTAAAAGATTTATGTTTAACAAATCTGAAACAACAATAATAAAATGAATTTATCGCATTTCTTGGATCCATTCTTTCATGGTGTAACACAGAATATTTATTATCCTACAACAGATTATTTTTTATTAGGGAGTAACGTTCACCACAATAGAGGTGAATTTTATCAGTTACAATGTTTAAAGTGTGAGCTATCAAGATTTTTTTTTGGGGGGGGGTGCAGTATTTTCTCAAGAAAATACTATTCAGAACCATTATACTCCTCCATTCACTTGGATACATCCCAGGTGATAAGGAACTTTTGGTAAATGTTGCATTAGTAAACATATTACAAAAGATTTAAAAAAAAGTGAGATTATTTAATTTTAAGCAGTCAATGATAATTATGCATTCAATCTGAGTGCTAATAACAATTAATAGTTATAAGCATATGAATATGAATGGACCTATGGCTGTGCAAATCTCAAAGGACAAGATGAATTATGTGCTCAGTGATTTCAGTTACATAAATAATTCCCTAGCATTACAAACATGGCCATATAGCCTGTTTCATTTTGGCATCAGCTGGTGTGTGGCCAGTTTATATATCACAGATGGCTAGAAATGCCACTTATTTTGGATTATGAGGTATTAATGACTAAATAGCATGAACAACCTACTAACATCATTACTTTAAATATTACTAAGATGCCTTACCATAATAATATGGCTTTTGTTAACATTAGGAAATCCTTTGCTTTTCCCATATTGAGTCGAAATACTGAACAGAAAGATTCTATTATAATGTTCATAGGTATTGTATATATATCAGGACTGGCAAAGCTGTTAATCACAAATTTATTTATCTATAACAATATTATTCATTTTTGAGCATGAGTAGATTGTGACTTTGTTTCTACCCAGTAGTTTTTGTTTATAAAAAGTTTCACCAACTCTGCTGTATATCATTCAAAACCTTGGCATAAACCAAATATACAGATTTATATAATATAGAAATTATTTTAATGTTTCAGCTGATTAGCATATGCAAAGCTTCATAGATACTTTAAATACAATTTAATTGAAAATAAGAGTACCATTAAAAACATAAAAGAATTATTGGAAGCTTATTATTATTGCAGTACCCTTGCCATTCTGCTAACTGGCCATGTCTGTTGAGTATATATTTTTAATACTACCTTTTTTATTCTCTACTATGTCACATAATAATACTAGCAAGTGAGTATTTAAATGGGAATTGTTGGCGAGTGCAGCTGAAAGTTACATTGTAACACAAAATTGCGAAGCCTTCAATCAAAATCAACGTTTTGTGACACCTTTAATTTGTTTTGAATCATCTTTCAATTTTTAGGTTAGTCTACTTATGAATTATAACTATTTTTCTAATTTTATCTTCTGATCGAAATCAGTTGTTTTATTTCAGTTGAATATCAACCCATTGTAAAAGACATAAAAAAATAGAGTTTTCAAGCAAAGATCTAGTTGCAATTGTACAGTTCTTGATGTATCAAAAGAAAAACGGAAAGTTGTAATTATGTTGAGCAAAACAATTTAAGACAGAATTACCATATCAACAATTTGGAAATGTACTTCCGAAAATAACTGTCAAGGTTAATCTTATGCTAATGTTGATTATTTGAAAAAACAAAACTGTGGACATAAATGCAAAGATTATGGAGAAACACTTCAAACATATTCCTCTTACAAGAGACACCAAAGAAGCAGTAAATAAAACTTTTGATGATATTTCTCTTGAAATGCTGGATAATATGTTTCTGTCATTTTTTAACAAGTCATGCTGGAAGAATGAAGGCTCCATTAATTTTAAGCTCATCACACATACAGGGAAAGCAGAGCTTCAAAACCAAGGTATTCTAACCACAAGTTTAAAATGCAGTAAGGAAATTATGAAAAATCCAGAAACTATCTGAATACTCAAAATAAAAATTAAGAGTAATATTTTTAATACATTGTCTAAGGGAGCTATCTTCCCTTTCGTTTTGGCATTTTGTGTTGATTCACTTTTGAAATTGTTGCCACCAAATATTAGAGCACTGTATTATATTTAAAGAAATTAAATATCGAAGAGTCTGCATAAATGTATGTATGTTTCTCGCATTGTGATAAAACAACAATATTTAGACCCATCAAAATTTTGAATAATGTACGTATGGGGCATCTGGAAGCCCACATTTGGAATTTGTTTTATTATCTATTTTATATTTTGTGAAACCTTTAACGAATTTTTCATTAACAACCTAAACAATTTAAAAGGGAGCAATGACAACACTTTACGGGGGAGGGGGGGACGACAAAACATTTTTATCTCCAGCATGCAAGACTGTGTATCAGAAATTTAAAGATATGCTATTTTAAAACTCTTTTGCAATATTGCTCTTGAACTGAATTTTATGGTTTAAGTGTGAAGAACATGATATTTAATAAATAAAGGGAACATACAAAATGTTAAAAAACGCCCATTTGAGTGTAATGTAAAATCTGAAAGCTTAATATATATTTTTAAAATTTAATCTAGTTTTTTGAAAATAAATGTTGTGTTCTATATTTATTTTCTTTTGCTACTATTATTATGGGACAAATTAAATTTATCAACTGCTACTATTATTATGGCAGAGAGGAAGTATTATCAGATTAAACTTATTATTTTAATGTTTTTAAGACTAATAAATATAATCTACTCAATTCATAACCCCTCCAATTTTCAAAATTATGTTTTGTATCATGGCTTCCTTGCCCTGAGTGAAAATTTTGACTAGCATAGTCAAGAATATGTACTTGTGTCTAAATAATTATAGGAAGGAAAAAATATTTCATCAGAACAGACTTTTTACATTAACAAAATGTGTTTAACATTTATTCTGTGAAACAGTTATGGCTCACTAAAAATGTTATTTCTATACATGTGTCAATATTTTTAAAGCACTCTGAAGATGCATTTTTTAAAATTAAAATTTTTGATAAAAATCTGAAAACAAAATAGGCACTAAGCAAGTTTTTAACTTACCAACCTGATGAGGTAATAAACAATTTTTTAAATGGTTGAGCTTTTCTTAATTAGGCATTTGCACAAAGTTATGACCTAAACTTATCAGTCATTCAGCTATCTCATCATTAGAATACTGTCCAAGATGCACCAAAAAGGACTAATGCCAAAGCAAGGAAAAGACAAAACATAAACAATCAAACTTTACAGAAGAGTTGAAGCTACTAATTCAGTTTTCAGAACTAGTAAACTGAGTATTAATCTTTTGCAAGCAATAAAAACACTGAATTATAAATTTTAAGCATTTGCTTCATTTGCAGCAATTAAATACCAAACTCTTCTTGCATATGCATTATAGCAGTGAGTAGCTCAGAAATGAAATTAAAGTTATTATCCTAATTTTGCATACTGCCAAGTCAACGCAATTATATAAATGTGTCCACAGTATCTCTATAATGAAGAAATTTTAATTCTTTGTACATATTTATGCCTTTTAAAAATGTACCATCATGAAATTTTGAATGAACATGTATAAAACAATATATTTATATTTTGTTAGTTAAAAATAATTACATAATGAATTTGTAAGATGTAAATATAAAATATGAAAAGATTACAAATAATGCAAGAATATTTCTTTATTATCTTGGGTGTCATGACTTCGTTGTCTACATCCCTTTTATGATATATATATATTTATTTATAGTATATACAGACAGTACACTTGTGTGACACCTAGGCCTATATTTTTCTACAGTACATAAGGCCTAAAACTGGCAACATTATTAGAAAATATGTAAACAAACAGAACAATAGGAAAGTAATATTACATAAATTTGTTTATATACTTTTCATAAAGCTATAAATCAACGTAATAAATTTATTTTAAGCATAATTACATACTCTACAAAATGCAAATGTCAATTGCATGTTAAATTTAAAATGCAATATTTTGTAATTTAATTAATTTTAGCAATCCTGAAAGAATTGGATGTTCGTTTTATGCTACTAGTGTCACGAATGAATGACTGTGTATATTGAGACTCATCATCACTGACAATATCTTCAAAACTCATGTTTGAAAAAGCATTAGTACTACTAATCCTCTCTTTTGCTTCTTTTCTTTTCGAATGCCTTGACTTTTTTACAGGTTTTAATTGTGTATAATGTCGTGATGAGAGAACATTGACATTTTCATCATGTGCCATAGTATCATCTTCAATTAATTCCTTATACTTTGATTTATCTACAGAGGAAGTTAGCTTAGATTCTTCCAAAGATTCAGAACTAAAAGAACCTGAGGAATCTCGAGATATATTACCATTATCACTTATTGGGCGAGACAATGATGAACTTGGAGTGGGATCCATACTGGCAGATCGAACAGCTAATTTAGGTTTGGGAGCTACTGGAGGTGGAAGTTTTTTCTGAGAAGCTAAAGCAGGCGCAACAGCACTAAAAGGAACAGCTCCAAATAAATCTTGATTTGATTTTCTGCGAATTATGCTGGTAGAAGATGATGGTGGTGGAATAGGTGCAGGAGAGGATGTTTTCTGTGGTGCAGCTATTTGTTTTTGATAAGTTATAACTATATTACTAATTTGATTTGAGGGACAAGGTAATGACTGAGAATTTGGAAGTACAGGAACCTTTGGTGTAGATTTGACGTTAATATCTTTTTCAGATATTTCAGTGAATGGCGCTGAGCCAAATAAATCTGTAGATACTACTGGAGATGTTGAAATAGCTGTAGGTGAATTATTATCTCGTGGAGTATACTTTACACACGGTAAACTCTTTCTAGCAGGAGGTTCAACATTGGGTACAATATCAGGTAAAAATATAGCATGAGCACTGCCAAAATTTTCAGAGCTTCTAGGAATATTTGCACCTTCATTCTGTATTTCTTTCTTCTTTTTTAATGAATTTTTGAAACTGTCTTTTTGACCTTTGAAAGGTATTTTAAATGGCGCCTGAGCAAACACATCCACTTCTTTTTCCTCAGGTGATAATAAAGGAGCTTTAGCAGGATTAGAATAATTAGTTAATCGTTTAAAAGGAGCTGCACCAAATACATCTAGACTTCGTGGTTTCTCACCAGGGGAGGCAGGTGGTGTAATTGTTGTCATCGGTGATACAACCAATGATGATGAATTGCTACCTTTTTTACTTCCAGGCAACAAAGCTTCATTTTGATCATCATCATCAGAAGATTCTTCATCGAGCAGTGGCCGGCCACTTTCTGCATGTCCAATAAAGACATCTTGGATAGTATCTTTAATCCCTGGAGATTTTTTATTCAGTTTTTCAGTGGTATACTCAGTACATGTATTTAAGTCTGTTGGAATATTATTTGATATACTTTCTTCTTTATCACCACCAGAACCTATAGAGGAAGCATCTTCCTCTCCGCTGGAATCAACTCTTTCTCGCAAATCGCTAGCTGAACCAATTGAATCACTGTCTTCTTGAACAGAGGGAAATTCTACTACATTACATGATGAAGCACTTGCATCTGAAGGAATGGGAGGAACTTTTTCTGGGGGATTATTTAAATCAGTTATTTCACATGGGGATCTCATTTCAAAATCATCATTTAAAAGTTTTTCATATTTTGACCGATCCTCTGCAGGGGTTCTAGTAAATGAAACTGTAAAAATATCTTTCCCTGAGCGACTGCTGTGCACACTTTGACTTCCTTCATGAGAAGCACTAGAATTCTCACTACTGTGTCTGTGTCTGACCTGTAATTCAATATCAGTCTCTTCAGAGTACAAAGGTGTATAGCTTGTTATATCATGATCGGGCAGACCTAAAAAAAGTAGCAAATGAATTTACATTCAAAAGAATTGACTTAATTGCTCATATGTTTGCATAAAAATACACTATAACTTATTATTAAGTATGATTCAGCCATCACAGGGTACCCTCAAAATATGTTAACACATACATGAAACAATTATATATGCATTATTGCAAATTTATTTGCAATTAACAAAACACATACATTCTGTAAAATTTAGTGGCATCAGTTCTGTATCTTTAAAAATTCTTCTATATATGTGTTAATATTTTTTAAAGCACTCTGTAGATGCATTTTTTTAAATAAAATATTTTGATAAAAAACTTAAAGTAAAACAAGGTACTAAAAACTCAACCACTAAAGGGCTTAATTATTAAAATACAATACTATAGATACTTAAAGCTACATTTACAGTTTTTCACATAAAAACTATCTACCATCAACCTTGATGTATTAAACATGCTTTTTGAATAACATAAAATATATTCACTCATAATGAATGAAATATTTGCCTACACAATATTCACAGAAAGCTATGGGGACTTCAGTGAAAAAAAATATTGAAGCATGCTGTAAGCATGGGTTAGGGAAATGTTACTTGGTGAAAAAAAGAATGGCAGCAATAAATTAAAACCATAAGTGTGATAAAGCTGAGAGTGTCGGAAAATTAGTTGTAAAATGAGCACAAGTTAATTCCATGAAATGGACACACCTAGGGAAGGTGCAGTGACAGCAACACAGTTACAGAGATGCCTTATGAATACCGTATGGCAGAGTCGTTTTTATCATTCTTACCAGAAGATGATAGAGGCAGCTGATTTGGTCGGGGAGGACCAGCTCCTTTGCTTCCCTTAGGAGTACCTAAAATATTACATTATGTAAGAAACTTATTTGCATAAAAATTATGAAGCATCTTTACTTTCCATAGAGCAATACAAAAAACATTTAGAAGATTATTTTTATTCACATCTGGTAGAAAATCCTCCCAAGTATGGCATAAAAGTAACAAACACAACTATACTATGCAATTGCAATACATAAATTATCTGTAAAGGGTCCGAAACATTTAAAATAAATAATTAATTTTGAATAAAATTTCAGTGATTTTGAGAGCAATCAGAACACAGGGCATTTTTCTCTAGCGGCAAATCTAAGGTTGCTTTTTTGCCTAATTTTAAATGTTTAAGTTGGCATCTTTCTCTTCCAATTACTTTAATATTCATAAAATCTAGATACGAGGTATACATTTAAGAACTAATTAAAATGAGCATTTAGTATGTAGTGCAATTTGATTAATTACTTTAAAGTAAAATGCGATCTGTCTCAAGGGGAAAAAATTAAAACAAAGACTACGGGTTGTTCATATTTACATTACAGATCTGGAAACTCATCTATACAACATGCAGCCTGCCCATTTAGCTGGTAAGAATCAAAGCAGAGATAGCATGTTAATTCAGAGAGGATCTGAATCTACCTCTAATATCCTCGAGAAAGTTACACTGGTGAATTTTATAATATATTCTATAATCATTACATTGAAAGATAAAATATATAGCTCAAATTTATTGATACAGAATTTGAGATATCCTTTTTTTTTACTCTCATATATATTCTTATTCAAATAATACAAAGGAAAAATAATATAAAAACTCAATATGTACCTAACTTAAAGCATACCTAATTCAAAACTAAAAAAGTAATTAAAATCAGCTATTTTATGAAAAGTGTATTTTAGATAATCAATTATTTAAAGTAAAATAATAAAAAGTCTTTACCACTCAAGTTGAATGGAGCAGCACCAAATGGATCAGGCTCTGATAAATCTGATGTGCTCATGACTAGACTTTCCCTACTTTTTACATTTGATATACCTACAGACAAAAAAAGCATTAATCATAAAACAATTGGTGAAATATATAAATAAAATAATGAAGGCAAATGATTATTAACAAATGTAGATATACAAAATTGAAAATAATGAACATAGTAAAATTTGATAGCAGTTAGTTTGGAGATTCATTCAATGTGTGTGTGTGGGGGGGAGGAAAGGGATCAAAATAATAAAATTGTGCAGATAATATACATATACAAGTGCAAATTTAGCCAAAAAGTTAGGAATTTAAATGTGAAGTCAAAAGTTGAACCTGATAAACAATTTATACAGCAACTCTAATAAAGGTCAATACAGAATAAATTTAATAAAATTTAAATTATTAATAATTAGAACAATAAACAGAAAAATGAAAATAAATAAACTTAAAAGATAATGAAGAAGTGAAGTAAATTAGATAAAGGAAATCTTCTGTCTGTCAAGCAAGAGTTAGCAGTTAAATTAATTTTAGAAAAATGAACAAATAAGTCAGTGAGACAATGGCGATTGATCAGGGAGAATTAGTTTATCTCAGCTTCCCTTCAATTGTTCAGAGATTATGTTTTGTCCTTCTCATGCATATGCAATATTTATGCATAAATTGCATTGTTAATCAGGTTTGACTTCACATTGAAATTCTTAACTTTTTGGCTAAATTTGCACTCTTAATAGGAGCTATATTCATTTTTAATTTCATTATATTGTTTGTATATATATATATGTAAACAGGATGATACAAAATGACAAAAGTAAAAAGGAAAAACATAAACATATCTCTGCTCTCCTTAATAGAACTAAATATATTCATCAGGTATCACTATTATGACACATGCTCAGGTTAAGGAAATACGGTTATTTTTCATATTTGTAAACAATCTGTATAAATTAAATATATATATATGTAAGCAAAATAAAGAATTCATGAAAGATTAAATTAGCAGCATAAATTTTCCTTCTCTATTCTAAAAATAGTAATTTCTCTGCACTGCATCATTTCGAGATTAATCCATGTCATATGACTCTTACATAATTATGATGATGTAAATGGAACTAAAACTCAAACAGCTAATAGTAATTTTACTGCAGTATTACTTATCAAATCAAATGTACTGAGAACCAAAACTAACTCAGTCTGAATTAAGATTTCACCCTGAACATAATGCACTTGCTTTCTATGCTTTGGCCTCACTGGACTGCAGTCTGTTTGCTCCTCCTTTCTTACTACAAATTTACCAAACATGTAAACTTTTGGAATAAACATAACTAATGTGCCAACTTGTTTGTGGCTGCAACACGTTTGCAAAAATAAAAGTTGAATTAAATCTACCTCGACTGCTAAATTTCTTATTCATTGTGGATTGGATTTTCAACATCTCTAAGCTATCAAAATTTTCACTGTTCATTACACACACATATATGTATATATAATGTAAGAAAAGCTTATGAACTAAACAAAAAGGACCTGTGAGGTCAATATATGTAAGATATATCAAAATATGATAGCTGTTCTAAAAAAAATAACTGGTGACCTCAAAATTAACATTCTAAATTTGGTAATCTTCCCCTGGGTTCATCTTTTCTCACAGGTTCCAGATTTTTCTATGTTACGTAATGTTTTAATGCAGATACCTCTTGTCCAATCAAATTAATTATACACCAAAACTTTTCCTACTCCTAACCTTCTTCCTCTGAAGTACTATGACACTCTTGCCTTTTACGCATAAGCTCTCCTGCTAGCAAGACGCTTTTCATCCATGCTACTGCCGCTTACTTACTTAAGATGACATCGTACTTTAAAATGAAACTTATTGTATTCAAATACAATTAAGAACATCTTGTCTGCAAAAGGATGATTTGATACATGTAAAAAATTAAAGATTGTGATTCTTCAAGATCCATTGTGCTAAATGCATCATCATGCTTTTCTATTCAGCCACCTTCAAGCCACTATGGTCTTCTCAGCCATCTACACAGTATCATAAGCTGTTAAAGTTCCAGTGTCTTCATCTACGCATTTGAAAATCATTATATATATGTATATAATATATGTGTGTGTGTGTTACACATTCATAAGCTTTGTAATTCACGATTTAATGTTGGACTATTGGATTAGGCTTAATGTATTTGTATATGTAATGAAAATGTGTATGGTAATATTTAACAAAGCCTCTCTCTATGTTCTAAACACCGAGTTTTGAAAGTGGCCACCAAACATCCCCACATTTGATGTTAATCTTTTGCTTTCCAATACATAACACAAATTCAAAGAAACTGAGCCAACTATTTATTTATTTATTTATTATTATTTTTTTTACTTCAAGATTCTTTGAGTCTATTCTTAAGGGTGGATAGTCATTCTTTGTCAGACAAATACAGAACAGAATACTAGCATACCTTTAAATAACAGCATTCATAAACAAACTTTTCTGAGTTACTTTATAACATCAGCTCATCTAGTAAAACCCATATGTTAAGGAATATTCATACTTTTATTCTATTTCAGGAATGAAAAGATCAACTTTGAAAACTGAATGCAATTAAATAGTGGCCACGATTAATAAGTAGTACTGACAAATTAGAGGGTGGTTTTGTAGTACAATTAAAATCTACATAAGAATATTTTCCACTTAAAATCATACTTCATTTTATATAATCTCAGAATAAAAACTCATTTTTTAAACAAAAGTATTTCTTTTTAAATTTAAAAAGTTTAAATCTTTCCTTCTCTAAACTATAGAATAGATGGGAAGTGTAATGTTTTCCAGCTACTGTGGTGCAAAATATTGTTGTGGGCTACAAGTTTTCCAGTAGCTTTCTAAATAATAACTCCAGATAAACAGGAAGAAATTAACAATTTACTTTAAAAATTAACTATACACAGCATAATAACTGCAAATAGCTCAAAGAGAGCACAGATATTAAGCAATTCCTTAGCACACAAAAATGACAACACCAACAACTAATATAAGTTTTTAGAGCCGTATTTTTTTAAAATATTGTGAGCATGGGTATGACGTAGCATAAAAATCTGTCATCAAAGCCTATGAGGAGTGTATTTGCTCATATCTCAGTGTTCTACTTAAATTATTTTTACAACTTAAATATTGCCACACATAGAACTAAAGATTAACAATTTCGTACAAGAAACAAATATATACATATATATTAAAAAAAAATGTGGGCACAAATGCAAAATAAACTATGATCCCATAAGGAAAATTTCACTGAAATTTCCAAGGTAATGTTTATACAAATCAGAATTTTGTATAATGGAAATTGGAAAATTTAAACAGACTAATGCATCATAATTAATTAGTTGTATACTGGTCTACCAACCAGAGCTGTCATGATAAATTCTGTAAGAATAACAAGGAGACTTTGAATAAATATGTAGATTCAATTATTGCTCAATTAATGTAAAGCATACAAAGATCATCTGTCCTTACTCCACTGCAATTTTCAGAGGTCAGCTCTTCAACTTTTTTAAAACAAGGGAAAATCAATCAATAAAAAAAAATCAATTGGTGATTTCCTATAATATTTTTATTTAATATGCCACACTGTAATTTCTGACAAAAAGAAAGTTGCTTTTCTTCATCATGAGATTTGGAAATCATGTGACTGTTTTCAATGGAATGTAAAAATAAATACAGGATGATTACATTACAATGCAATATTTTATATTCATTTCTCTTTTTCCCCTTTGCTACACAGTAACCCTAAGAGTAATGCAAGCATGGAAGTAGGAAGTAAGATGGAGTAGCCCTAAACAGGTTTCTCCCGTACCCTGCTCTGAAGCACTGGCGATCCCTACGTGGTGACCAAAACATTGGGTCATTTACCATTAAGTTCAATTGGTTTTGATGGTAAATATTTTGTAATTATGTCGTAAATATACATATAAGTGTATATATTTTCTTTTTCTACAACACTTCAGAGTCCTAAGTATATGAAAACAACATATTTATAAACAAGATTTCATTTTGAACGGAATTAAATGCTACACTTTTCGCAGAACAGATTTCTCAGAATGGTTTAATTTGAATAAAATATTTTCACAAGTTTTCATTAATTACATTAGAAAAAAAATGTAAGGTAATTCTATTTTATTCGGTTAAGGTAAAAAATTAAAGATCAAAGTTTATTGTATTATTAATATTAAAATTATGCATTATTTCTTTTCTATTTATAGAGCTTCTTCCTAAAATACTTTCTTAAATATGACATGATTTTTTGGCTTCTGAGGCATCTTTTAAATTGAAAAATATAACAGGGTTGCCACTCAAACAGGAGAAGGAAATTCCCTGATTTTTCCAGGTATGTTTCGAGAAAATTCCAGTCTATCCGCGTAACGCACGTTGGCTGTGCTAAGAGGTAAATTAATTATGGTATTACTTGTACTGTGTAGCAAATTCACTTAATTATTCAATAAATCCCAGAGGACATTTATTCTTAATTATTCTTGGTACACTTTGTTTGATAATTTTGTTTACTTTTCCACTTAAGAAACTAATAAAATTTAAGATATCTACATTGGATAACCAATTGTATGTTTTATTTAATTATTACTCATGATCATCACCAGTTCAACATGAGGCTAATCCGGTTCTTATAAATCACAACGCAATGCTAAAAGTTAGGTTAGATTTTAGGTAAATTTATTTGTGTGAGGTGTCTTCTTAAAAGGCACCTTAACACTTGAAAACACAATATAATTATAATAGGAGTTTGTTTTTCTCCACTGAAGATTGAGATTAGAATCTCCCCAATCTGGAATAAAATAAGGCTTTTTTTGCAGACATTCTCCAGCTAAATGAAAGAAAGAAATCTATTTAATGATATTTTTTTTACTAAATTGAGGTATTTTATATTTATTTCGCAGCATACATAAGGAAAAAATATGTGCATTAAATTTCGTGATGTCATCATACTGCTAGAATTAATTTCAGAATTATGCCAGAGAAAATTTCCTGAAATTTGGAAATATTATTTACTAATGAT